AAAGAAGGGAGAATACAACAAAAAGGGGAAGAGCCTGTAATAACGTACTGATATTATAAATAATAATAATAATAATAATAATAATAATAATAATAAATTTTATTTATATCCCGCCCTCCCCAGCCGAAGCCGGGCTCAGGGCGGCTAACAACAATCAAATAATCAAACAATCAAATAATCCAACATTCTAAAACATTTCATTATAAAAATTAATTAAAATCAAATTAATGGCAACCGTTAAGCAAAATTCTGTGCAGGTTGCCAGAGGAGGGAGTCAGGCTGGGCCCTGACCAAAGGCCTGGTGGAACAACTCTGTCTTGCAGGCCTTGCGGAAAGATGTCAGGTCCCGCAGGGCCCTAGTCTCTTGTGACAGAGCGTTCCACCAGATCGGAGCCACAGCTGAAAAAGCCCTGGCTCTGGTTGAGGCCAGCCTAACCTTCCTGTGGCCTGGGACCTTCAGGATGTTTTTATTTGCAGACCGTAGGTTCCTCTGTGGGGCATACCAGGAGAGGCGGTCCCGTAAATAGAGGACTGGGACACTGAACTAAAAGGATGAATTTGAATTTGAGGAGGATTATAACAGAGCTGGGAGGTAACAGCAGAAAGATGCTCTGGCAGAGAATTCTAGGCATAAAAGTTGACCAGTGCCAATCAAAGCCCTTCCTTCAAAGCACACATTTGTCACTGTCATGCCATAGCACTTCATCCAAGCTGGCCTATTAGAACTGCCATTCATTTTTCTTCACTATGGCTGCAACGGTTGGTCTTCTCAGAGAACGCTCTTAAGAAGTCAGTGGTATTTGAGATGCATGTGCACTGGGTTACAGCCTTTTGGGCTGTATCCAACATTTGTCCTATTCGAAGTAAACCCATTGAAATTAATGGACATGACAAATGTAGGTCCATGGATTTCAGTGGATCTGCTCTGAGTATAACTTGGCTGCCTATAGAGCCCTGCAGCCGGTTTTTGCAATGTTTGACAGCCAGTTGTTAGAACTTGAATCCTGCAAGCATGAAGCAATCTTTGCCCTATTCTAGGCATAAGCTTTTCCATTCTGTAGTTCATGCTGTTCCCTGAGCATCGAACCTTTAAAAGCCAGTGTTCAACACTCTAGAAAAATCATACCAGTCTCAAAACCTGTTGCCAAAGATGCACCATGGCCACAAATAGCTATATTTCTAACTGCTGCTTTCAAAAATGGCCATTGCTGTAAGTATGCAGTCCCGCCCCCCCGTCGCCCACCACACTAAAGCATTCCTTGACCTCATCCCACCATTAAACCATTTGATACATGGCAGCAATTGTATAAAATAAGGTCTCCCATTGGCCATCTCCTGAGATTCAGATGTAGCCCATGTAAGTCAATAAAGGATTGGATTGTTTGGAGAATTGCCGAATATTCCACAATCTAAATGTAAAACTGCTTTGTGCATGCATGCCGTGTTAGCACAACAGTTGCTATCGTGATTCTTTAGCACTCTTCTTGTGTATCGCTGCTCTGTAACCATGGAATCAGTCTACATCACAGTCATAACAGAGAGAAAGAGAAAAAATATCTAGCATCTTCCTGCAGACGAACAAAACACTCCAATCTCTTAAAGCCCATCCGTCTTCAATGGGTGGGACATGAGCCGCCTTCAAGTCATTCCAGCGGCACTGCTGCCTCCCTCTTAGTAATGTTTGTGTTGACTTAGAAGAAAGTAAAAAATGTGCAAAGGAGGAGACATAAATGTACAATAAAAACAAATTAATATTGGGGTCAAGCGTTGCAGGTTGGGATGAGAGGGAACCGGAGTTTCAAAAATTGACAGTTTCAATCTCAAACAGCATGCTGAAATATGTGTAATGAACTACGACAACCAAAGCAAGGGAAATGACCAACTCCAAAGGGGTTGTGTCTCCCCATCAAAAACAATAGAGCGCTCTTTTTTAATGCGCAGAATTGGCTCCGGTGCCATCTCTACATATGGATTCCCAAACTATTGTTCTAGAATTCTGGAACACTCCTTCGTGCCGACATTCCCAGATAAAGAATGACATTTGCTTGCAACCGCACCACTGATAATTATCTTTAAGTTTTTACTGAGGAATGTAATCAAGCTGTTAATATGCTGATAGGACATGTTATCAGCGCGCTTGGATTTTGGCAACTCTTAACCTAATAAGAAAATGCAGTTCTGGGAGCAGCGCACCAGAGCATTATGCTAGATGCTAACAGAAAAGCAGCTGTAAGACATCAGAGATTTAACATGTCAGATCTCAATGTTCCCTTAATACAGGGGTAGTGGGTGAACCTGCGGCCCACCAGATGTTCCCAATCCACCAGCCCCAGCCAACATGACTAATGGTCATGTTGGGTTGATGAGAGTTGTAGTCCAACCCCATCTGGAGGGTCACACGTTCGCCATTCTTGCTCTAATACCTGCCGTTGGGGACTGGAAAAATAAAGTTTGCCCAAATTGTGAGTAGGAACATGAAGAGTTTGACCACTGGTCCATTAAGCTAAGTATTTTCCCTAAAAATAGCATTGCAAAGAAAAAAAAATGAAACACTAACAATAAAGTAGGGGCAAAACAGAATGCAATTAAAGGAAACTGGGAGATCGAATACTTAAAATTGTTATTTGGAACAAGGCTGCCCTCACCGTCGGAGACAGCATGCTGGGAATTACAAGTGAGAAAAGTGCTTTTGGGGGCTCCCCATCAGCTTCTGGCTGGCCACTATGAGAGCAGAATGTTGGACTAAGTGGGCCTTTGGTCTGATCCAGAAAGGCTTTCCTCAAGTTCTGAATCATTCTTTTGCTCGTAATAATTTTATAAAAGTAAATACAAGGAATCCAAGTACATGTTACATGAATGTTCAATTAATGTATGTATAACCTTTATGCGTGCATAAGCCGATTTAGACCACCTCAGACTATTTATGTCAGGCATCCCCAAACTCGGCCCTCCAGCTGTTTTGGGACTACAACTCCCATCATCCCTAGCTAACAGAACCAGTGGTCAGGGATGATGGGAATTGTAGTCCCAAAACATCTGGAGGGCCGAATTTGGGGGTGCCTGATTTATGTGGATTTTAATTTGAACTGTACTGCCATTTAAATGCATGTTACTAGGGGCCGGTTTATGCCTTATGGAGCTGAGGGATGTGCTTGTCCACTTTGCAGCCTGGGATGAAAACTGCAGTGTTTGAGAGAAGGAGGGAGGTACGTGTGAGTGAGTGAGTGAGTGAGTGAGCGAGTGAGTGAAACAGGGGAGGCATAGGGGCAGTGGTCCATCAGGGTAAATGGAGCACTGCCCCCCCCACACCAGTGTGCCCTCAGTTAGCCCCCACCTGCTAGCCTCCTTACTGAGGACCAATCAGGGAGTGGCTCTGCCTGTCACTGCCTCTGGCTCCACCTCTTGCTGCCTTCACTCCTACCAGTTCCAGTGAGAACCAGCCACCAATGTATTTCTGGGGCAGGCAGCGGGCAGGTGTATTTAATGTTAAAAGGCATGTGATAATCACCCGATAAGATCATGTGACATGGAGAGAACTATGGACCATTAGAGATATGGAATCAGTGAGACAGTAAGGGTAAACTGGAGGCACAGAGGTGTTTTATTTTCATCTTGTTAATCGGCGGTCTATAAATTTAATAAATGAGGATGATGTAACACTGGGTTAGGCGACTCAGCACCGTCCAGACTACAACTCCCATCATTCCTAACCTTTGGTCATGGTGACTGAGATTGATGGGAGATGTAGTCCAACAGCCGCTGCCTAGAAACCGCTTTCCCACCCCTGTTTAAAACAACAAGCTGGTTATTGATGCAGCAAATGGGATTCACTGATCGATCTTCATGCAACTACTAGTATTTAATAAAATAAAATAAAATATTACCACTCCTGTTGATTTTACGGCATCTTATCTGACACTGAACCCGCTGATGACAAAGGTTTATTTTTATTTATTTTTAATCATGAATTCCGGAAGCCACTTTCAGGAAGAAGAAAAATAATAAAAACTCATTTCAATTATACATCTGTTTCTTTTTCAAGACAGCCCTAAGGATCCCAGCAGGTGACACTATTTAAAATTGTGTGCTTCCCCTTCCCCAGCACCCCAATTTAAGAAACAATGGTGATTTACGTCAACGTAAGGATTCTTCCTTTTAAATTACCAATACAATTCTATATTGCTTTCTGCTTCTTTATACCCATGCCAATGGATATTTGCTTAAGGCCACTTCAAAATTTACATTTTAAAGTGCACGCTTAAAAAGAAATGTTTCAGAGTACTCTTAGAAATGCCAGCATAACGAACACACAAGGCAGTGTACCTGGGGTGACAGCACAGTCTTCCATCCAGGAGCAAACCATGCAAGATGTGCCTTCAGATCATGGCTTTGGGGCATCTGAATACAGTACCAAGATGGGGCGCCTTTGGCCTTCCAGATGTTGACAGGCTGCAGCTCCCTCCAGCCCCAGTCAACATCTGGAGTTGTAGTCCAACAACATCTGTAGGGGAACAAGTTCCCCACATTCCTGTTAATGGGACCCTTTTTGTTCCAAAAGTAAAGTTCCCTATTTTCTCCAGCATTACTTTTCCTAGAGCTTCCAAAACTAATGCCCTTTTTAGCTAGAACACTAACTACGTCGCAAATCGGGACGCAATCTTGGGGCGGCAGCAAGACATCTTACCAAAAACAATAGCGACCCAGCATCCATACTTAAATGCTGACAGCATATGGCTTCATCAGTCAATTTCTAAATGCTTCCTGTGAGATGGTGATGCCAACGCAGATATACCTGCACCAGTCAATTTGTTCCTGCTGATTTATTCCTTTTATACCATATCAGAAAAGACAGCGCAAATATTTCTTAAGTCTGATGTATCATCAAACAATGATGTTCCAAATTCATGACTCTTTACTGTTTGAGGAGGTGAGCTGCTCGGCACAGTGTGGCTCAGCTGGGAATTTGCTTCTTCCAGTGGGTTTTTTTTCTTCTTTTGTTTGCAAGGGAAAGATTATAAACACCCTGGCTCCTATCGACCTGTGCAAAAAGGGAGGTGAATTCAGCATCCTTGCAAACCTAGAGCAGTCCTCCTTGTGTTGTGATCAGAACCTCCCAGCTTCAACCCCCCCCAATATATCCAGTCTAAAAAAATGGTTCTCAGAAAATATAACTAAGAAAAGCCTCCGGCTGAAAACTTGCAAAAGCTGCTGTCAGTCAAAGTACACAGAACTGAAATTGCTACCCTGCAAGAGAGAAGTCGGTGGATGTGGTCGAAAACACACTCGCAGTGTTTCCAGGTATTTGCTTACAGGACAGAACATACGTGCTCAGACCACGTCCACCACAGAATGCCTGTCTGCCTTCACCAGCTTCCTATGTTCATTGCCAATTCTGCTCAAGATCTAAGACAGGATCAACAACACCCTCTTGGGTTGAGTTCCTGCACACTGCAAGACCCAAAGTCTTTTCACCTGCATCTGAAAAGCTAATGCGGCCCAGCAAGATAGCAGATCTCAGGCAAGCCAGCTCAGTCAATCCCTGCCGAGACATGTGGGAAGTCAGTCTCTCTTGGTCTCCCCATCTGTAAAATGGGAATAGCAATCACACAAGATTGTTCTGAACCTAAAGGCTGCAAGCTACTTTGTTTGAGTGATGTGCCATGTAAATAATCATAACAACAAGGGCTTTTCTAAAAGGCTGCCAAAATATGTCTGCAGGCCCAGATAATATTGCAGGTTATAATATTGCAAGTTTAGCATTACTTCCAGTGTCTTAAGCCTAAAGATACTCCCATCTTCACCAACCAAAACTGTAACCTTCATATCCTTTGGAGTAAACCCAGGGAATTGCCGGAAATAATTCCAAGGGAAAGGATTGGGATCAAAGCTTGCATATAACATTATTCAGTTCATGTTCCACAGTACTAATAATCTCTGGGGTTTAGATTCTGATCAGACATACATTTTTTTCTACTTGCAACAGATAACTTGTTTAAATAGTGCGCAGAGGAATGTAACGTGTGAAATTGAAACAAGGATGCACCCCAGATCTTGTCTACTTCCTAGCCAATTCATAAAGCAGGCTGGATTATCTCAAATGTATATTTATAATACCATAATGTCAGTGCGGGGAAACGTTCTTCATGGTTATGCACTTCATACCCTCAGTTAAATCATGGCAAGATGCCTCAAAATCAAACAAGAATCTTAGTCCGTATTGATAAGCCAACTCCCCCCCCCCCCACTACATAGAACTGACAACAATTGCTCAGGTGTTTATATGGCCAAGCAACACAGCTGTTCTCTGACAGTCCACTTTCACAGTCCTGCCCTGTAAGCCTTGCCCCATCAACCCTATGGAGGTGCGCATTTTAAGGCCTACTTAAAACGTTACTTCATCCCCAGGAGTCTGGGGTGAAGCTATTACATACACAGACCCCACACTTGCGGGCCAGGAGATTCCATGGTCAAATATACACTGGGTTCCCCAGTTCATTCATTTATTACTCACAAGCTCAAAACCCATTCTCAGTATCACCCCAAGCAGAATCCAATGGGGCCGGGCAACACCTGAGCCAATTTGACACCACCTCTGCCAGACGCATCTCCCACACTCAAATGAGACTGCTTTATTATCAACATTATTTTTCAAGCTAGCTTTCATGCTGCCTGGGTTCTGGATGGTCTCAGGCTCTAGACAACTGTTTTCCACCACCTCTTAACCCTCTTAAGATTGTGACATGCTAGTTATGCCCTTTTCGTGAGGGGAATCATTAAGCATCAGGATGCTTTTAAAAAGTGCATACGGACAACTTTGTCGATCGTGCAGGCCATAGAAAGCAGCAGAGAGCCAGGAAGTCTCGGAGTCTGGGTACCATATCTAAGAATCTGATGCTGTGCTTTCATTGATACATGCCCGGCCTGTTTGGGATTTTGTATGGTGCATGCATGCGAGGGAAGACATGAAAAAAAGTAGCTCATCATTTGTTTTTGCCATCAAGGACCCAGGCAATTACAGCAAAAGATTGTGGAGATTCAAGAGCTGGACAAGTGTAACATTATTATAACTCAAAGGCAACATGAGCCCAATTCTCCTGAGGCTGCAGAGGTGGGAAGACATGCCTTCTTAAGCACAGGAAATGAGAAGAAAATATACAGTATACAGCCTTAATGAGTATGTAAGGCAATGGCACTACCTGGGGACGCTTGTGTCTCCCAGGATGAGCAACACGTGAAAACAAAACTAATGGGATTCAGACCATATCGTGGTGGGTTTTCTTTTGAGGAGAAATCATGCCTTCATTCTCACAAAGCAGGCAAGACAGCCTCGACATTTACGTGAACAGCTCAGCCACCTGCCTCAGCATCAACAAAGCCTTCCATCCAAGGGCCATGTCATGCCTTCCAAGACATCTGTCAAACAAAGTGGGGGGGGGGTGGTACACTTCCATTCAGCTCAAAGCCCAACCTGCCACAGACACCTGCACAGCCTGGAACCTCTCAGTGCCGCGGACGTGTGTGTATGTACGACGCGAACACTCACCCAGTCCTCAAAGTGGCGGCTCCCGTTCTGCAGCAAGTCCTCAAACTGGATGGTGCAGTTGGCCACGAAATCGTCGTACCCAATGGGGGCATCGTGGAAAACGGCCATCTCGATCTTCCGGCCGTTGCAAACGTCCGTGACAAACTCATCGTTCCAGGCAGGGCTGTTGGTCTTCTGCTTGGTGGAGGTCTGGCCGATCCGGGAGTCGTCCACATTGAGGGCAATGTAAGGGTCCAGCAGGAAGGTCTGTGGTTTGGGACCCACCGCATGCCGCAGGGACCAAGCTGTGGGCTTGAGATTCACCGCTTCGCAGATTTTTATTTTCAGCATGCCATTGAAAACCACCATGGTTAGATGGCTTCACTAGTTGTTGTTGTTGTTGTTTAATTTTTCCCTGGGATTAAAGCACACACTCTGAAGTGCGGAGGGATCCGAGGAGATTTCTCCAATAAATAAGAAGGCAGGTTGAAGTGGAAGGAGGTGCAGGCTTCAGAACAGCAGGGCGGCGGGAAAGGGGGGGGCTCTCTCCTTTTGTTGCTTTTTTCTGCTACCTGTGATTATTTAGCCCTTCCTCTCGCGACGCCCGGGGAATACACACACGCCTGCATGCAGACATGCATCGAGGTCTCGTCCTTTCTCTGCCTGTGTGTGTTTCCTAACGGAAAAACAAGGAAGGGACGGGAGGGGAGGGGAGGGGGGGAGACGTCCCTGCTTGCAGGAATCCAAAATGCAATCGGAGCAAAATCAGAGGAGCCTCTGGATAGAGAGAAACAGACTTTCTTTCCCCCCCTCCTCCTCCGCACCCCCCCTTTTTAGATCATAATCCTGGATCAGTCTTCTGCACACAAACACACACACACAGAAAAACAATCCGAAGCTCTTGCACACGCTAGTGCTGTCTTGTCTGTGTGCGGCGGCGGCGGCGGCAGCCCAGGAGGAGGGAGGAAGAAGGGGGAGTTTGAAAAATAATAACAAAACCCACCCAGAAGCAGCAAAGCGAGCGAGCCGCCCTGCCTGCTCCGCCGCCTCCCCGGCTGGGAGACGAAGCAGCAGAGAAATCACACAGTCCAGCCCAGCCAGGGAACCTTACATCCGCCTCGGCTGCAGGAGCCTCCTCGCCGCCTTCTCCTCCTCCGCCTCCTCCTCTTCCAAGGCCAAGGATCCAGTGGATCGAATCCAAGGCATGGGGAGAAGCGGCTCCGGATCGGACTGCTCAGCGCGGGAGTTCAACTTACGGAGCTTATTTTTAAAAAAATAAAATAATAATAGATATAGAACAATAATAATAATAATATTTCGCCAAACGACCCAAACCAGCACGGCGATGGGTTGCTCTCTCTCTGTCTCCGGCTCGCTCCCTTGGCACTCGCTCGCTCGCTCGCTCTCTCCGGGCGCTCGCTGTTTTTGCGCCGCTCGCCCGCCTGGTGTGTCTGGCGCTGGGCTGGAGGAGCCCTACCCCACCTCTCGCTCGCTCTCTCGCTCGCTCGCTCTCTGGGTCTGTCTCCCTAATGCAGGAAATGCGCAAAAGACGTCAGTGTGTGTGCCTGCGAGCGAGGCAGCGCGAGTGCGCGAAGAGAAAGTTTTTGCCTGTTGGGGGAGCACTTTGAGCGATCGCCGGCGAGCAACAGCTCCGAGCGGGGAAGGCAAAGGAGAGCAGCCGCCGCCGCCGCCGCAGCTGCTTCTCCTCCCGGGGTCGTGACTTTCAGCCGATCCCCGGGCGCAAAAGGGCTCCGTGCGCCCCGCTTTACGCGCGCCTCGCCGCTACGTCTCCAAGTGCCGCTTCTTTTCAAACCGGGCCGCTTTCGCCTTGCCTCTTGCTCTCTTGTTTTTCCTTTAAAGACGTCTCTCTCTCTCTGGTTCGCCTTCCTTATCACTGGCCTGGGAGCCTAAGGGGGCTCCCTATCGGGAGACTCCTCTTGGAAAAGGCAATCAAGGGCGATAAAAGAGCCACGACAATGATGACTCCGTTCAAATCGCAAGCAGGGCAAAGGGAACCGTCGACGCCCAGCCCCTCAAATCCCGCTCAAGGCGAAGGCTGCCAGGCTTCTTGTCAAGCACATAGCCTTTCCCACAGCGCGTAAAAGTCAAGGAACAGGCCTCTTCGCATCTGAATTTGGCACACAAATGGGCCAGAGAGATGCTCTCACATGCCATAGTTAAAAGACTATGGGACTCACTGCCACAAGAGGCTACGGTGGCCATCAGCTTAGATGGCTTTAAAAGATGGTTAGACTAATTCATGGAGGAGGGCTAATAGCGCTAATGGCGATCCTCTGTCGCCACTGGACTAAAAGGAGGTTGGAGGGTCATCTGTCATGGATGAGATTCTTGCATTGCAGGGGGTTGGACTAGATGTCCCTTGGGGTCCCTTTCCAGCTGGGCAATTCTATGATAACAGTGGATGGGAATCACAGGTGGACAGAGCCGTGTTGCACTTGCATGCTTCCCACAGACACGGGGTTGGCCGCTGTAAGAACAGGATGCTGACCTTGTCGGGATTTCGTTCTGATGGAGCAGGCACCTCTTTTGTCCTTCTGCATAATCCATATGAAGGCCAACAAAAAATTGCATGAATCATCCTAGAATTAGAAAGGACTCTGAGGGTCATCTAGTTTAACCCCCTGCAAGGCAGGAATCTCAGCTAAATCATCTGTGACAGATGGCTATTCAACCTCTGCTTAAAAACCTCCAAGGAAGGAGAGTCTATCTAACTCCCCCCCATTAAAATAAATAAATCAATCAAACTATAAAAATCAGCAACACAAGCAAGGAGTGGTGCATTGTAAAAACTTATCTGTGCCCAGGACTGATTACATCATGCTAATGTGGCCTAGGAAGGCTTTTGCTCTGCAGCAATAGAATTGCTACCTGATCCCTGGGGGGGTGGGGGTGGGTTTTTTAAAAAATGATGCTGATGTTTTCAGCAATAAAACGTGATTTTATTATGCTTCCGAGCCAATTTGTGGCCTAAAAGCAGCATAGCAATATAGATACACATAAATAATTTTTTTAAAGCTAGGAAATCTACGAGCGATTTCCAGCCTGTGAGAAGGAACAGGATTGCATGAGTAGGAATTACCGTAGCTCACCTTCGAAATGGCGCTGCTGACTGTGGCCCCCATGGGGGGTGTACAGAATTCAGCCTCACACAGACATCTCTGCACAGAACTAGGCCTATCACAGACATCCTGGCCCACAATTTTGCTTTAATACTGACGCCCCTATGAAGCACAAGGACTAACAGACATATATCTCTGTCAGGGCCGGATTAAGAGCTTTAGAGGCCCTAAGCACTGAAAACATTATGGTGTCCCCACCATATGTAATTCGAAATCGAAACAGCACTAAACCATAACAAAAAAGTTTATTTTTCAAAGTGGCACAAAGCTTACAAGGATGCTGAGATGCACATGCGTTTGAGTTGCCAGCTTTGTTCTGGCAAAATGTGGGGCGGGGCGGTTGGGAGGCAAATTTTATGGTGCTGTAGCCTAACGGGATGGCCCCTCTTTAATTCCCCCCCCCTCAAACACACACACATCTACACATGAATTTTTAAATCTGTCTCTACTTGGCTATCCAGAGCTTAAATACTTGACCTTTCACACACCTTTTCAAACACATGCATTTGGAGAGGATACCTAACTTGGCACACACAGAGAGAAGACCTGAAATCCAGGACAAAAATTATCAATACAGTAATTAGCCTTTTACATTGAAATACGGGACGATCCTGTATTATACAGGACAGGTGGCAACCCTAAATGTATGTCACGTGCAACACATGGCAGGATCTGATGACCTCACATTGTTTCGATTTATGTTGCAGTAGTAGGATGCTCCCTGTTTTAGATACTTAAATTTTAGAAAAGGTGCAGAGAATTGTGTAGCGAAAGATGCAGGAGACAGGAAAGGAATGGTGAAGAACTGAAGAGAAGGATGGAAAAGGAGCAGGGGAAGACAGAAACAGATGGCTCTGAAGAATTTAGCTACAGAAGTCTTGGCTTATATTGGTGCAAGAGGATGTTTTGTGCACTAATTTTAATTACTGTACTGTGTTAGGTGTTATTCTTGCTCCTGTTTAGTATTAAGCTGTTCAATGTGTCTGTATTGTTTTATAAACACTTGCATGGATTTTTAAAAAAATGATTGATATTATTATTTCTAATATGCTTTTTTTAACCATTGTACTTAATTGTTCGCTTGAGATGTGAGTCACTTTGGGCACAAAGTTGTGGGAAAGTGGCATTCAAGTAAACAGACGGTGATGATGATGAGTAATAAAAAAATAACGGGGAAAATAAGAGAAGAGTGTGGAGCGGAGCAAAGTTCTGACTTCCCCCCCGTGATAATTTATATATATAAATATTCTTTTTTAAAAAATCTCAATTTTGGGGTGCCCCTTGCTTTGCTGGGGCCCTAAGCTTGGTCTGCCTAGTGGGTAATCCTTCACAGGTCCCTGTACAGAATTCAGGTTAGAGTGTGGTGCTGATAACACCAAGGCTGCAGGTTCAATCCCCAAATGGGACAGCTGCGTAGTCCTCAGGGTCCTTTGCAACTCCACAGTTCTACCATCTATGATCCATGCACAGAGCTGTCGAACAAAGAAATCCAGGCCTTCTTTGCAGAGATTGTAGCCTTGCTTGCTTCCAGAGATTTGCATACACAAACACACCGTCAGTGGTTCTACAATAATATTGTCACCGGTGGCTTGTGTGTGTGTTTGCTTTTGGAAGGGGATGGTTTGACGATGCAAACAGTATCTGCACACAAGCAGCACCTGGCTAAGAGCCAAACAGCAACCCTTCTGAGCGGCTCTCCCCTCCAGAGACTCTCACACGAGGCCTGCTATAAATGTGAGCAAGTTTTAAGCTGCCCTGTTTTTCCCGACTGGATTTTAACCCAAGGTACTAGCTGCCATCATATTCTGCCACATATTTATTTATAGCCATATACATAGAGGATGGCGCTGTGGGTTAAACCACAGAGCCTAGGGCTTGCCGATCAGAAGGTCGGTGGTTCAGATCCCCGCGATGGGGTGAGCCCCCGTTGTTCGGTCCCTGCTCCTGCCAACCTAGCAGTTCGAAAGCACATCAAAGTGCAAGTAGATAAATAGGTACCACTCCAGTGGGAAGGTAAACAGCGTTTCCGTGTGCTGCTCTGGTTCGCCAGAAGCGGCTTAGTCATGCTGGCCACATGACCCGGAAGCTGTAAGCCGGCTCCCTCGGCCAATAAAGCGAGATGAGCGCCACAACCCCAGAGTCAGTCACGACTGGAACTAATGGTCAGGGGTCCCTTTACCTTTACATAGAGATATCTGGCTAACAAAACACTCTAATGGAGGCTATGCACCCAACCACCCTTTAAAAAAACAAAAAACCCACAACATAGGTTTTATAGCTTCTTCAGGAATATTACATCCAAGGAGCGTAATGCCAAGCAGAATGGCCAGATTTTTGGAATCTTCTAAGCCAAAAGAAGTACGTCCAAAGGAAGAAATTGATTATTTATTAAATTTGTATACAAAATGCATATTTTAGGGGAAAGTGTACATAAATATGATCATAGTATTAGAAACAATCATATATTATTAATAATAATGTTAGGAGGAATCACTTGCAAACAATGTGTACTTTAGTTTAAAATCCAACAAGGAAGGAATACAGAGAATCTGATCAAACATAACTCTGTATATAATAAACATATAATGTACACTGAATATCCCACTGCAATTCGTGTTGTGATTCAAAATAACACCAACACAAAGCATATATGTAGACTCACAAGGAACTTTTATATATATAGTGTCTTGCAAATTGCTATTCAGTATAACTGAGATTGAGAGTTCAATAGTTCAACTGTGTAGTTTAAAAGGCATAGGAAAACATGTTTATTGGGAGAAAATACTGACGAATTTTCATGAATTACCAACAAAAACTGAACGAGGATTTTTTAAAAAACACTCACACACACATTGCAAATTGCTGCAGAATGTGGAGAACTGAATTTAAGATGGGAACATGAGAAACAGAGAATAAAAACCCACCCTTAGTCTCCGGAATGCCAAGGTCTGCAAAAGTGCACAAAGTTTTTAATGGGAAAATAATCTGAAGAGGAACTGCAAATCCAGGCCAATGAAGACTCAGAGGCCCAGACGTGTTGCTTGCTTGCTGAGGCTGGGGGTAAGAAAAAAGAGGGAGGATTGGAAAAGGGAATGGGTGGGATCCTGAACAAAGAGCAACTCCACATTACCACGTATTGCTGTGGGTCCCACCTGCTGCTTATGAATGAATAGCCCTTGCGCTGTTTATGTGGATAAAGAACAAGCTTATACGCAGCCACCGGTGCCAAGAGATGACATTAGCACACCAGTAGATGCAAAAGCCTGGTGTGAATATTACGCTTGCTTAGGATTTTCCGTCCAGCTGTTTGGCTATTCTCTCGCCTCTTTTCATTTATCTTAAAATCAGGATCCCACTGGAATCTTCTTCGCACGGTCCAAACTGTGAGAAATTGTTGACAAATG